AGAAGCCTCTAGTGAAACCTATGGCCCCCGGGGTCTATTTTCCATCATACTTATTTCCGATCTACTATATTGCAATCTTTTATTTTCAGATCTATAAACCAAAAAACCCAAAAATATTTAGTTGCCTTTTTATTTCTATCTAACTCTATCAGATCTCACATTTGCAATTGACCATGAAGGGATTCACAACCCCTTTATCGCGTTGGGTGCAAGTGTTTGATTGTTTGTGCAGGAGCATCGATTCGGGACTTGCTTGTACCTCCTACTGGATTGATACCTTGGTTCTCTAACTAAGGGAAATACTTATCTCTACTTTGTTGCATCACCCCTTCCTCTTCAAGGGAAAAACCAACGCAAGCTCAAGAAGTAGCAGTGGTACGAGGGATCGTTCACTGATGGTTTGATGGACTCCAAGTATGATCTATAACGACACGTTCTTTTCTGCTGCAACTCGGTTTCGCTAACGATCGTGATCCCAACCCATTATGCATCTTCATGTTGATCTTGGGTGATCGTAGGTGCAAATTTCTTTGTTTTCTACTATGTTTCCCAACAAGGACAAGGGCCACGACACCTCGGTTGGGCTGGATGCCAGCTGATCACCTGCCTGAAGGTGATCGGGGTGTCCAACCACCTGCTGTCCGAGGTTATCACGTGACTAATGTGGTTTATTTCTTAGAGATCTCTTTTCCACTAGTTCCTTGATGGGTGAGTCTCATGGATCATTAAGTTCTCATACTCCTCGGACTACTGTTCCGCCCAGCTTGGTATGTTTCCTCGGCATTTCTGGTTTCTGAGGTTGTCTAGGAGGTTTGTCCCTCCTTTTGCCACTTGCCTGACAACCCAACATGCTCAAAGCATGTGGGTTCAGTTTGTATTCAACGAGATAGAGTGGATAGTGCATGGTTCGTCCAAGATCGTGTCTAGCGCAGATTTGGGCCCTTGCTCTAGCTTCTTCTTCTTTCGTGCAGGCTGATTGACTTTCTTGTCAACTCTAGAGCATTTTCGGTGTCGGCTGAGACGCGTGCGCCTGTTGTTGCCGGAATCTTCTAATAGACCCCGGACCGAATCCCTTTGTTCTTTTTCTACTAGCCAGGCGTCTTCCATGACACAGTATCTCTATACGATGTCAAATAGCTCGAGGAGGGTTCTAACGTGTCTTCATGCCAAGATGTTAGAGATGCCTTCATCATGGCAATTGAAGCGAATTGTTGCTAAGGCGTCCGCATCACAACAATCTGGGATCTTAATTTTTACGAACAAGAATCTCATCCAAAACTGCTGGCCTGTCTCTTTAGGTTTTTGTGTGACATAAGCTAGGTCCTAGACGTCGGTCGGGCCTAAGTTATCAGGGCGGTACAATAAGTGGGGGTGGGTGGGAGAAAAAAAATCCGATTCCAGTCTGATCTGGCATCGGTCTCCTGAGAAAATCCTCTCGAGGATGGCTTGAAGGAGCCCTTGGGAAGGAATGTGCAAAACTTAATCAAGTTGCTTAGGTGAGAATTCAGATCCGAGCTCCAGGCTTGGTCCGACCAGTTGTGGTCGTGATCCTCGAGCATAGAACCGTCTTTTGGGTGGTGATTGTCTGAAGATCCTCGGCTAGATCCAAAGACGCAATGGGGGGTCCGATCCCCAAATCTGATTCGTCGGGCTTCGAGTCCTAACGGTGGGTAGGAGTTTCAAAGCGCTCTTGAGCCTCGGTTGAATCAAGGTTTTGATTTTCTGGCGTGATGGGCACGCCATCATGGATGTGATCGCTAAAAGATGCTTACATCGTTCCTTCATGACCACACGACGGGACCCGCATGGGCCACCAATGTCGTTGCTAAAACGGCGGATCTCGGGTAGGGGTCCCGATCTGGTGATCTTGGCATGATGGTAACATGAAGAAAGAGGGACACAATAATCACCTCGGTTTGAGCCCTCTCGAAGAGGACAAACCCCACATCCTTCTTGTATTGTATTGATTGTGGATGGGGTACATGATGATCTACCTCGAGATCGTATGAATGAGTTCTAACCTCTAAAAACCGTAAAACTTGCCTCTACAGACTAAACCCCTCTGCTTATATAGGCACAAGGGGTATCTAGGGTTACAAGTATGTCGGCTACAAGTAGGGATAACATGTCGATCATTTGAATATGCCTTGAAGTGTACGCAAGGTCTTCGAAGGATTCCATCTTGAGTGCGCCGGGTGCCACAGCTGGCGTGGCCCATTCTTCAGTTGCCAGTGGGTCCTCGGCCGGCCCATGAATGGCAAGCCAAAGTCGTGTGCACCCTCAAATCTAGGACACCGTCAACCGGGGTGTCAGATGCGTATGTGGCGGCGGTTCGGACGCCCGCAAAGCTCCCCTGGTTTGCATCCAGCTTGCGGCATTTCGGACAACCGGACACGTCCTCCAACTGATGGCGTACCACGTTAGATGGTTTGCGGCACCAGAGCAGCTTAGTCCGGACGCTTGCGGGTCCGTGTTGGAGATGCCCTAAAAGCATCTACAACTAGACATGGAAAATTCCCCCCCCCCTAAACGTTTGCAGACGCACCTGAACACGACCCTGGATAGTGCCAGACGGACCTCAAATATCCTATTGTAGAACCACACTCTGCATATCAAAACCTCAAATACATGCAAACTCATGCACATCGATCATACACATGAATACCAGACATAAATAATATTTGTTCATAGCGAACATACATAGTTCAAACATAAAACTTTATTTGAAGTGCACAATTCAAACATTAAACACATTGGGTTTCATTGTGGTTCCACATATTCTCCACCAAACCATTCAGTAGTTGCACGCACACCTTTTGATTTCGAAGATTCTGATGCATCTCCAGAAAATCCCAGAATATGACCTGCATCTTGTTTTGGGATGTGGACTTGTACTCCGAGCTTCTCATACTCATGAGTTTGGGCTGCCCCATCACCCTCTTCCTTGACAATCATATTGTGCAAAATGACACAACATGTCATCAAATGACACAAAGTATCTGATTCCCACATCAGTGCAGCTCCACGAACAATACCCCAACAAGCATGGAGCACTCTGAATGCTCTCTCCACATCCTTCCTAGTTGCTTCTTGCATTGTTGCAAAGTGACTTTGTTTGTTGCCATGGGGATCCGATATGGTCTTTGCAAACGCCGCCCACTGAGGATAGATACCGTCGGCAAGGTAGTACAACATGTTGTAGTTGTGTCCATTGACGATGTAGTTGCACGGTGGTGCTTCCCTATCACAAAGTCTCTTGCATAGCGGAGATCGCTGGAGCACATTGCTGTCATTGTGAGAACTAGACATGCCATAGAAAGCATGTCAAATCCTCAAGTCCCTTGATGTCACTGCTTCTAGTATGACGGTGGCCTCTTTGGTGTAACCTTGGTACATCCCGCAGAAACCTTTGGGGCAGTTCTTTCATTGCCAATCCATGCAATGAATTGACCTTGCATAAATGGAAAACTTCTTACCGCTCTAATAGCCATCGAACTTTCTGTACCTTGCAGAGTTGGTTCTCTCATATACTTCGCTCCAAACACCTTACCCACGGCACGGGCAAATATCGCAGTGGTACCAAGGCATGTGCTATCTCCCATCCGGACAATCTCACCAATGGCGTCGGCAGTGGTACCTAATGTAAGCACTCTTAGTGCAACCATGCATTTCTGCAAAGGAGAGAATGAGTGTTTTCCGCAATAATCATTTATGAGCCTGAAGTAGGGAACATGTGCCTCCATTCCCTCCACCATGCGCAAGAAGAAAGTATGAGCACACATGAGCGTCTACCAAAAATGTTCCAAGAAATGTTTTTCTGGGGTAAAGTAGTCCTTGTAGAGCAGTCGTGCGCCAGCGACCCTATCCCGGTTGAAAACTCTCCTCGCTTTCATCAAAACCTTATAGTTTAGAATGTGCTCCGCTTCCCTCTTCATTCGTTCTAGATGCTCATCATCATCTCAGCATCTTCGTCGTCCAAATCAAAGAAGTCCTTTTGAATTAACTCATCAAGCTCCTTGTCTTGATACTCCTCATCCGACGAACCCTCCACATCCATCGTTTTGCCTACAAAAGAATAAGAAAACTGCTCGAAAAATTTGTCGAACACACAGAAGGCAAGGTGTAATATGAGAAGAGTCGGACGTACCCCAACGGCATACGGGGCGGCAAGACTGGCAAGGACATCGCGGTGGTGGCAGCGATGAGGGGTTGGGACGGTGGTGGAGCTAGGGTGACGACGTAGCTAGGGGAGGGGCGGTGCCGACGAGGGAGAAAAGAGGGGAGGGAAAGGGTTGGTCGGGCTAGGCCTATGGGATTTGATTAAATTTGTGATGGGTCCTGTCTGTCGGATCCAATGTGACGGACGCGCCCAGGCATATCCGGGCCTCCCGGACATGGGCTGGATATGGGATAGATGGGTCGCGATTTTCTGACCGGTCACTGACGAGACCGTTTGCCCTAACGTATCACATATAAGGGGCATATAAGGGGCATTTGAGGAGCCCGGCCGTAGAAAAGTCCCGCCACACAAAATGTAGATATTGATTTTCTTAAGTAAAAGGATAGGACTAGGTAGGAAGGCTCTTTAATTTGCTCCTGACTTGGATGTCATGTTCTGTGCAGGCTAAGTAGTGTATAGTTAGCATGAAATGAGAAAGTGGACACGAGGGTGCAACGAGGAAGTCGCCAAATTTCCGGATTGAGAGCACGTTACAAACCTCTTGCTTGTCCGAAATTAAAATTGCACGTGCATTTGCTAGCACGTCCACCTGCACACTCATCGGAACAAACCATGGTTCATCTACTGCCTTGCTTACACCATGCATAATTGATCAAGTCCGCGTAATGCTTTTTCTCCGTCAAATAAACCGCGCTACTACTACTATTGTCCCAGTAGAGATATCAGCATATTTTACGCTCTGGAAAATACTAGCATGCATCCAAGCGCAGAACAATTCTGTGTGTCTAGCTAGTTGCAGGCTTGCAGCAGTGTGCCGAGTCTATAGTGCTTCGTACACTGGGTCTGAAAGCGGGAGAGTCTCCCAGAAATTGTCTGGGACGTTCCAAAAGTTACCGCCGAACTCAGACGGAAAGAAGCGCGCCGTCGGCGCGCCCACATCGACCGTTTCGTGGTGGTCGGTTGCGACCCAGCTCAGCTCGGGGTAAGGGAAGCTCGTCTGCGTGTACTCGTCTCCGACGGTGGAGCTGGCGTGGCTCGTCGACGCCGACGCCGACACGGACGTTGTCGCCTCGCTCGCGGGTTGCGCTGGAAGCTGGTTCTGGTGCGGTGCCTTCTTGTGTACCCTGGTCCTCCAGTAGTTCTTGACCTCGTTGTCGGTCCGGCCGGGGAGGTGCTTGGCGATCTCGGCCCACTTGTTCCCCAACCTCGAGTGGAGCTCCCGGATGACCATGTCCTCCTCCGGCGATATGCTGCCGCGCCGCAGTCCCGGCCTGAGGTAGTTGAGCCACCGCAGCCTGCAGCTCTTCCCGTTCCGGTTCAGACCTGACCGAATCGACACATCATCAGAAAGACGAAAAATCTTTGTAAGCTTCGAGATTCAACTCGCCTGGCAGCAATGCATTACAAATCTTGGAAAAGTAATCTTTGATCGAGTCTACTCTTACCAGCAGAGCGTGCGAGGTTGTCCCAAGAGCCTTCCCCGTGCTGGGAGATGTATCCGACGAGGATGAGGTCCTCCTCCAGCGTCCACGGACCCTTGCGCACTGCCGGCTCGCCGGCGCGGCCGCACATCATCCTGGCCATCCTAGTCAGGTTTTTTTTCTCTCGGGAACAACAGAGGAGTCCAGTGTTGTCCTCGGTGAAGCTGAGCAGGGCAGAGACGAGTGTTTGAATTTTGATCGATTGGAAGGCGTCGGTGTTTATATAGGCGCGCCGAGGGCGGCATTGGTAATACGTAGAAGGCACGTGCAGTGTATTACTAGATTAGAGCCACGTGCCCCTAAATTGCTGTTGGCTTGGCATATGCAACATTGCCATGTTTGGAGGAGGGCAAAGTCTGCTTTAGCTTTATTTTGATGTGCTTCCATTTGGGGAGGGCGAGCGCATGTGTAAACCAAACCCGAAACGATGGATCGCAAGTGCTACGAGTCCACAGTCGGGTTAACTAGAAGAAGAAACTTAATTAGAAGAAAGTTAAGCACATTCTTTCCTGTTCCACTTTCGCCTCACTGTTGCAATGCACACTCGACGGTGACAAGGACACGTACAGCTGTAACCCCGTCGCGTCCACCAAACCAAACCAAACCAGAGCAGAGGATAGATCTCATCTCATCATCCGAGTGAATGTGCGCTCTCGCTTTCCGTTGGCGATGGAACGATCGATGGATCGACAGACGGGGCCGAGTCGTTTCAATCACGCACGTGCGGTGCCGATGCTTGGCTCTCGCGGCGCCTGCTCGCCACTTGCTGCTTGCCCGAAATGGAAGTGATTCCCATCGGACTCGTCCCCGGAACTGGTTAGGCGACATGCCGGATTTGGGAGGGATCACCGTGGATTGATTGATAGATGTGCTCTGAGGCCGCTGCAGGCACGTTTTTCCGGTGGGAATAAAGAGTCACGTCGCTCGCGAAAGAGACTTCGCAGCTGAACTGAACATGGGCGAGTTGAGCGTAACTCAGATGGTTAGAATTCGTGTGCTAGAATCATCCTACTAGGTTTAAATTACTTGACTGGTGTACGCGTCTTTTCAGATTTTATTTCTGTCCTTCCTTCCGATGATATTCGTTTAGTAGGAGGAGAAGTTCCATCGATACAAAACGCTTTCCGACCCAACAACCTCAAGCCGTCAAGATTTCCTTACAACCACACCCCCTCCCCCCCAAACAAATCCTCAATCTTTCAAAAGGCGCCAAAAATACCCACGGGAAAGATGAGTGGCGTCAGGTGGTAGATAGTTTGCGCCAAGAGCACAAACTTAACTCAACTGACATGAGGTTTCCTCCCTCCCAAGGGACAGGGTTACACGCCACCTTGACCCCCAGATGTTTTTTTTCTCGAATATGTACGAGTGTGCATATCATATATTAAAGAAGGAAAGGCATAGAAAGCCTCCACTAGTCAATTACAAGTGTGGTGATTTCTCACACATATGTACACAACACTCCACCTAGTACACCTAGTACACATAAAACTACTACTCCCCACTAATCCACCTCGCTAAACCCGCAAACACGAAGTCAACATTTCCTTTCATAAGTCCCGAACGCGCCCAAGTCCTTCCTTCCGCCTCTATTCTACGCATGAGCTGGTGGAGCGATGGCAACTCGCCATCAAACACCACAGCGTTCCGATGCTTCCACAACTCCCACAATGCCAGTAGTAAGATAGCATGCAGATCTTTTGTGGCCATCGTATTCAATCGTTGCTTCGTACATAGCCAAGATTGTAGTGAATCCTGCGGGGTTGGCGTCCACTCAGGCTTCACCAACGCCGTGCAGACCGCCGCCCACATTGTCCTGGCAAAGACACATGTTAGCAGCACATGGTCTATTGTCTCCTCCTCTTGGTCACAAAGTGGGAACTTGTCCTGATGCGGCAACCCTCTTCTAGCAAGCCTGTCAGACGTCCAGCATCTGTTGCGCAAAGCCAGCCACGTAAAGAACTTGCATTGCGACGGAGCTCGTGATTTCCACGTTAACTCCGCAGTCGGAATCACCTCCCGGCCCCAAAACTTGGCAGCGTACGCTGATCGCACCGAGTATTGCCCACTTGCTTCCCAGGACCAAGTGAAAACATCCGGGCCAGACTCTGTGGGTTCCCATGCCAGCAGTCTTTGCCAAAGCTCCAAATACTCTTGCAGTGCATGTGAGTCCAGCTCAGGGTTAATGCAGTAAGCCCAAGAGCCATTTGACACCACCTCTCCGGGCCGGCTCGTCCTCCTAACACGGCTCGGAACCAAGCTGTAGATGGTCGGTGCTACTTCCTGAATCCTCCGTCCATCAAGCCATCTATCCTCCCAGAAAAGCGTGTCCACACCATCATGCGGCGTGCACTTTGTTGCCGCTTGAAAGATTTGCATCGAGTCATTAGGCACTTTTATTTGGAACTCACTCCATGGCCTATCCCTGTCCGTCCTTTGCAGCCAAGGCCATCTAGCTTGCATTGCCACATTCATCCATCTCAGGTTGGGCAGCCCCAGGCCTCCTGCCCATTTAGGGGCACACACCGCATCCCAAGCAACTACACAATTTCCACCGTTTGCTTCCTCTTTTCCACACCACAAGAAGCCTCGACACACCTTATTCATGGCTGTCACCATTTTGATTGGAAGATCCAATGCCATCATCGCATGTATGGGCATCGCACATAGAACAGATTGCACCAATGTAAGCCTACCACTTTTAGGCATGAGGGAAGCCTTCCACTTTGGCAGCTGGTTCGCCATCTGATCCACCAGATATTGTAACTGTGTTGCTGATTGCTTTCTTATGGACAAAGGCAGTCCAAGGTAACGCACCGGGAATGCTCCCACTGGACAGCCAAGCTCCTCACTCGCCATAGCTATGCATTGTTCCGAACACCATATCGGAAGAGCAACTGACTTCCTCATGTTTATGCGCAAGCCCGATGCCTCACCAAAGATATCAAAGATGCATTTGCAGATTGCAAGATCCATTGGTTCTGGCTTGGTAAACAGGACTACGTCATCCGCAAAGAACGAGAGCCTATTCTTCATACCCGTTGTCCCCAACGGCTGCAAAAAACCCCTGCTGGCTGCCCACTCAAATAGTCTTTGCAATGGCTCCATGATGAGGATGAATAGCATCGGTGAGATAGGGTCTCCCTGGTGCAGCCCCTTGTAGTTGAAGATTGTGCGGCCCGGGTCGCCATTCAACATTGTCCTGGTGGTGGACGTGGCCAATATCCCACACACCCAAGATCTCCACCTCGAACCGAACCCAAACCGCTCCAAAACTTCCAAGAGAAAAGGCCATTGAACCGAGTCAAACGCTTTCGAAATGTCGAGCTTCAAAAGGACAGCGGGGTTCTTCAAAGCATGCAAACGACGAGCCATGCTCTGGACTAACATGAAGTTGTCATGCAACGATCTTCCTTTGACAAAAGCACTTTGATGGTTTCCAACAAGTTTTGGCAGCTCCACCACAAGCCTGGAGGCTAGAACCTTCTCGAAGATCTTAATAGCTCCGTGCACAAGATTGATAGGCCGAAAGTCTCCCACATCCAATGCCCCATCCTTCTTGGGCAGGAGAGAAACAAGCGATTTGATGATTGCGGCCATTCCTCTCACATCTCCATTATAAAAGCATGCCATAGCTGCCATGAAATCCTCCCGAATGATATGCCAACACGTGGCATAGAAACGCCCCGTGGACCCGTCTGGCCCTGGTGCTTTGTCTTGTGGCATCGATTTTAGGACCTTCTCAACTTCCTCGTCGATAAATGGCACCTCAAGATGCTCAAGATCAAATTGCGGTAGCTGAAGAGCCGCGAGGTTTAGCGCATGTGTCCTTGCAGCACAGAAGCCAAAAGCTTGTCCAAAATAGTCATCCACTACACCCGCAACTTCTTCTTGACCTGTGAACAGGTTTCCGTTGTGTCGTACAACCCGGATAGTATTCTTTCTTTGTCTATGGCTTGCTTGTTGATGAAACAATCTTGTGTTGCCATCTCCTTCGCGCAATTGCAGCATGCGAGACCGCTGCCTAGCAATGGTTCGTTCAAGAGAACATAAGCCCAACAATTTCCTTTTCAAGCACTTCCTAAGCTCCACTTCCGCGGCCGACAGGGGTCTGGTGTCCATGGCAACATCCAGTCTGTGAATCACCTCCAGTGCTAAACGTATTTGTAGTTTCACATTACCAATCCACCGATCACTCCACTTCTGGAGAGACATGGTCGTTGCTTTGAGCTTGTTGTGCAGTGTAAGATATACATTAGATGCCACGGGCCGCCTTAACCTAGAATGATTCAAACTTGAAGCACTTTCGTATGTGTACCTCCATGTTCATGTCCAGCATCAGTGGACAGTGATCCGAAATTGCCGTTCCCAGCGCAAAGAGGAAGCATGAGGGGAACGCCTCATCCCACTCGTTCGAAACGAAGACGTGGTCAATCTTCTCAAGAGTTGCATGCTGCCTTTCGTTTGACCACGTATATCTCCGACCATTGAGATACAGCTCCTTCAACTCGAGCGAATTAAGCTTGGAGCGAAATCTGCTCATCATTCTGCGATTGATCCGGTCATTGCTTTTGTCCTCCTGATTTACCAGCAAGTTAAAGTCCCCCGCAACTAGCCACGGACCCGCATGCAGGTCCCAATTTTCCACAAGCTCCTGCAAGGACTCCACCTTCTCCCTTTCCTCCTGGGGGCCATACACACATGTGAGCCACCATTCTTGATCACTTGATGTTTTGACAATCGTCGTGAGCGTATTGGTTGTATAGTGTGGGTTTGACAATTGCGTGATAGAGTCATCCCAGGCCACCAAGATTCCTCCACGAGTACCCACCGCCGGCAAGTAAAAAAACTTCCCAAATTTATTTCCTAAGCATTGTTGTACAACCGCGAGTGAGACATCATGCAGTTTGGTTTCCTGCAAACATACAATAGCTGGATTTACCAGCGCAACCGCTTGATACACGACACTTCTCCTAGCCCGCGCGTTAAGACCACGCACGTTCCACACAATCATCTTGAGGGGATGTGCATTCATTGAGAAATGCCACCAAGCCACCCTGCCATTGCACCACCTACTAGACCAGCGCGGCTACGCCCTCCTCC